TAAGAAAAAGCTCTTGTAGACGCTTTTTTCACGATAATTATTAATTAATTATCGTGAATAATAAATTAATTTATATAAAATTACCAACATTTATTCTAATCTCTTTTATCGTTCTACGTACAAAAAAAGAGAAACATACGATTGCGAATTAAGAACGTGACTTAAGATTTCCTATTTCTGATTCACATTCTTCATAGCTTATTCTTCAATAGGGATGAACGTCCGCGGGAATTGCCGATTAATGTAATGCTTTCATAAGCTTAGCGGCGCGTTTTATTTTTTTAAAGCTCACGAGGCGAATATCGAAACTTAATCACGTATACCAGCGGACTTCGTCGAGAAACATTGATTGGGTACGCTTGTATACCCCGCGTTGAAAAAGGGTGGGCACCGCTAACAAGATTCTATCGCTTTGCTTGGTGTATCGTTGGTGCTCTCTTCATCAACGTGAAGCCGATGAGCCAACATCGGCGAATACGTGGCCACCGGCGTACCTGAGCACATCCTCTGGTATGTACTCAGTCATTAACGGGTAAACTCAGTCTAAACTTCCTGGTGGATCCTGTCAAGGACCCCGAGCAATACTCACGAGCGTTGTTGCAACGTAACTAAGCGCGCGCCGAATTCGCCCACCGATGCTGAACTTCGGTGCTCGATACGCGAAGATTAATGGCGATTACTTAAAGTTTCCGTATTAACGATCTATACATCAATGTACCGCATCAGATGCGTCAGAACTGAAAATATTTATTATATATCCAACGAGTGTAATTATGCTTAATCGGAAATGTTATCGATTTTGGGTATATGTATAGGCGGAGATATATTACAATTTGTTTACATGTATGTGCAAATCCGCCTGTAGACTTATGCTTATTTCATGAGGCAATTAACTGCCATTTTCATTTATTGGCCATTAATTAATGTTACGATTGTTTAATGAAATGACGGTTGAATAAAACATGTGTTTTGTTTTATGTCTGGAGCATTGGTAATTTACATGTTCACTATGTTAATACGTTAACATCAACTCACGAGACTAAAACATTAATCATTATATAT